CATCAGTCTTTAGTTAAGCAAAGCGTCTAAAGACTGACTTGTGAGTCTACTGCCAGGCAACTGAGGTTGTGCATTCCTATAAATGCTAGTCCTGGACAGCAAACTGGACTGGTGTGTGAATACGGATGCTCTGTACAAGAAGGGACAGAGCCGCCTATTCTTCCTCAGGAGGCTCAGACCTTTTGGTGTCGACAAGGATTTGCTGGTATATTGCCTCTCTTATTTATGCATGTTTGTTTATTGCCTGAAATCATTGTGTTAGATCTATACTATATGTATACAGACACACAAAAATATGTACAATATGGGTGTAATATGCAGGTATTAAATGCTTCAGTGTACATAATACTTGTACCAAGATAACTTGTGTGTTTCTATATATATTACTGCAGAACAAATAGTCCTTACCTCACCACGTCCACAGCTCCAGCTCGAACCTTTGGATCGCTGCCCATTATAGACACACTGGCAGCAAACGACCCGTCAATACTGAACACAACAAACTCTGTTCCTCGTGGTACAATAGACAGATAGCTGTCTGCAACTGTGTGGTCACCCCTGTGAGAGAAGAAACACGGAGGTTACTGTGCAAAGAGGAGATTTACAGGTACGTTTTAAAAGTGAAATAACAATGACTCAACACACCTGACCACCATCTTGACAGGATACACCCCGATGCCCAGCCTTCTGCTCTCTGGGATTACATAAGAGACGCGTCCGCTGCTGTTGGTGAGCTCTGTGTTAAAGTACACCCACTCTCCAGAGGGAGGCTGGGTCATGATGTGGATGTCGATCTGCAGGAAGCGACACAGAGATCTTTTCAATATGTGCGACCTCAATGACACAGACGGTGACACCGTTACATAACGCCACAGCTGAATGGTCGTCGTTATACCTTCTCTCCAGTGAGGGTGACCATGTCCAGAGGGCCGTACATGAAACGTCCCATCACCATCTGAACTCCGTCCTCTGTGAACACGGCATCGTTCACTCGGTGGTTTGCTGTCACGTTCTGACACACAGAGGAGGACGAAAATAAGAAAACAGTCCTCTTCTTTTCAGTTGTTGTCATGTAACATTTGCTGTGATGAGTTAACAGGTGTCATTTTCAATCACTTTTACAGTTTCATTCTCTAAAATCTCTCTAAGCAGAATCTTCTCACTGTGCAGCTGCCAAAATCCATCTGAGAGAAGCTCTCAATCGATCCAAATGTTAATTAATCTCAGTGATTAAGAAGCTAGTGATTTTTCTGCCCTACCCCCGTCTGTAATGGCATAGAAAGTACTGAGATCCTTTACTTAAACATTCATTTATTTATGGCGTGCCGCCACATTACCAGCATTTGCAGCCACATTTAGATTTGTTTTTTTGGAGCTGGATTTCTTTCTCTTCCTTTCATGCAGCAGAGTGCCACATGTGGTGAAAGAGAAATTTAACCATTAATTAACTCATATGGTTTTAGGGTGCTTTCACACCTGCCCTGATTGGTTCAGTTCAATCAAACTCAAGTTCGTTTGCCCCCTCAGTGTGGTTCATTTGGGCAGGTGTGAACACAGCAATCACACTCAGGTGTGAACACACCAAAACAACCAGACTGAGACCTTCTTGAAGAGGTGGTCTCAGTCCGGTTCCAAAGGAACTCTGGTGCGGTTGGTTTGTGGTGAGAAGGTGTTCCGACCTGGATGTGAAGCAACTGCAGTCACATGACACATTGTTTGGGTTAAACATGAGCATGTTACAGTCCTGGAGGATTATTAATGTGCACCTCCTCCTGTACTGCCTTAATATGCACATTCAGCACATCCAATGCATCAAAACATTGTTTTCTAGTTGGAGCCGCGCCTCGTTTTCA